TTTTTTTTTTGAGATATTTGAAAAATACGTAACTTCGTCATTTGTATTGTCATCGTCGATCCAGTTTCTGTTCATCTGTGGGTAATGAAATAAAATAAAACGCTCGAGGAGAAGCAGAGTAGCTGGTGAGACAGATTTCGGCGGATGGGAAGGAAAACGAACGAAAGTGAATCCAGAATTAGCCAAGGACACGTGGATCCACCATTCCGATTCAATTTTCCCAAGAATTTGAAAAATTCTACTGGCATGCCTGGCTCTTTTTGAAAGGCGATATCTCTGTGAAAACTGAACTCTGTTTCTACAGATAGTTCGCCATGTACAAAATTTCCAATCATGAATTGCACCGTGATGATACGAGAATTGAAAAAAAACATCGATACACACAGTTGTGATTCCACGTCTGTTTGATTTGCTGATTGTTTTATTAGGAAATTGACAAATTATAGTACTCTTGTAAGTAGTGGAAGTGTTATCGAATGGTTAGGAACAGACGTTCGTTTTTAAACTTTGTCATTAAAGGATATTTTATACTTTATTTTTCTCAAACACACGGTCAGTATCTTATTGATTCTCGAATTTTTATATTATTTGCATTGTTCTTATGTAACTCGTTATTGGAAATCGCTACTATTTGTAGTAAACTATCTACGGAAACAGATTTTGTTAAAGTATCATTTGTGGCGATATTTTTTCTCATCCACCATGTACCTACTCGAGTGCCAACGTGTTTGTGAATAAATAAAATAATAACAGTATTTTATTGATATATTATGTATTGGAGCATCGTTTATACGTTTATTGTCAAAGAACAATTATTGTAACGTAATTGAATTTCACCTGTTCGTTTTCCATTTATAATAAAACGAGTTCGGATAAATCGATGTCCATACTTTTGTTCAGAGAAATTGAATTTTACTATTAACAATATTTGAATACTCTAAAATACTTCAATAATATTTCTCTGACTCTGACAAATGCCCCACCGTACCAAAACAATACGTTAATTAATTAATTAATTAAACTTTACTTCTTCTTTTTTTTGTACTAAATTAAAACTTCATTTATACCACAATTGTTCATAGCTGGCGTTGAACTGAATAAATTCAATCGATAACAGTTCGTTAATCAATTTCTCTGATAACAGATTTCTACCAAAAAAAAAAAATGTCAGATTCAAACAAATTGAATTCCACCGTACCTACTAATAACACTTTAATAATGTTTCTCGACTTCTCCCGAGGGACCCGACGCCGCGAATGAAAATACAATATCAAAAGCGGAAGTGTTTTCCACGTGGGAACGCGGGACGTGGTATTGTTAAAGGAATCGTCAGAGCGATCTCGACGTCTTGTTTTTTTCTAGCCAAGAAAGACAAACAGCGGACGCGCACCAACGATCTCGAAATCGAATTCAACTCGTCCCCGGTTTATCTCTCTCGATCCGTTTTTCTTTGTACTCGCGACACGCTCGGCAACTTCGCGTCCCCTTTATGGCCGCGCCAGCGCGGTTTACTGACATCGTTACGACCGGGTTAGCCTCGGGAATCGATTTGGATTTCATCGCCTCGGTCACGATTCCCACCGCCGATTCCCATTTCGTTTCCCTGTTTTCCACCGCAGACCAATGGACCACTGTCTACACAGTGATGACGGCCCACTCGTCAAAAACGAGTTAAATCCTCCTTCTCGTCGATGACAGTTTTGTTTTATCTGGCATTTTGTTTCAACCTGTCCAGTGAACTGAATATTTAAGCTGTGACCTATTCAATGAACAAACACTGGATCTTTCTTTTTTAAGGAGATCCAGGCTTGTTTAATTTTTTACAAACTTCGGTAGCATGATTGCCTCTTATAATTTTGTCAATAGTATGTATACTCGTCGATAGGAGACGAGTTAAGCTCTCTTTCTGAGTATCGTTGACAAGGTTTCGTCAATGTTCCAATTTCGTCTGTTTCGATACTAATTAAAGTGACTTGTCCAGTGTGAATGAACACTCTCCTTTGGAGCATTCAGGCTTGATTGATTCTTACAAACTTCTTAATTTTTTAAACTCTTCGGTAACACGATTGTCTTTTCAATGGTTTGATCGTCGCAGATGAGTTAAGTTTTCTTTCTGAGTATCGTGGACAAGGTTTCGTCAATGTTCCAATTTCGTCTGTTTCGATACTAATTAAAGTGACTTGTCCAGTGTGAATGAACACTCTCCTTTGGAGCATTCAGGCTTGATTGATCCTTACAAACTCCTTAATTTTTTACATTCTTCGGTAACACGATTGTCTTTTCAATGGTTTGATCGTCGCAGACGAGTTAAGTTCTCTTTCTGAGTGTCGTGGACAAGGTTTGTTTTCATACTAGTTAAAATGGACGAGTACTTGAATTGCGAACCTCCTTTGGATCCTTCTTTGGATCTTGCAACTGCTTCTCGTCGAAAGAAAAAAAAAAAAGAAAAAAAAAAGATAAGAACGATAAGAATCGTAAAGTTGTCCGAACATATATAGCGAAGAATAATCGAACAGAATGGACACATACATTGTCAAAGACAAAGCTATTGTCTTCTCACGCGAGAGAAGTCGCATACAAAAGGACGCAGTTACTTTTCAGCCAACGCGCATCTTCTCCGCCGGTTCGAATTCGTTTTAAACGTTCCCTCGTAGAGTCGCGATGATCGCGCGGAATCGGCGAACGGCAGCTTCCAAACCGGCGGAAGTTGTCGAAGAGGTTGGCTCATCCGGCCATCCTGGCAATCCCTTCTCCCCTTTTGGGGGACGTGGCACGCGCTCGGAATCCAGAATTTGTTCACACACAAGCGAATGGAAACGAAGAGGGAAAATGGAGAGAAAGAGAGTGAGTGGGAGAGAGAGAGAAAGAGAGATACGTGGAGCAGGGGGTTGATGCCTAGCACGTTCCAGCGGAATGCCTGCGCGAGCGCCGCTTTTGCCTTGGCCAGCGGAATACCAAGTGGCTTGTCTCGAAAAACTTCGCGTTAAAGCGAGATAGAACGATCCTCTCGAAATTGCTAGGCCAACGGAAACTCCATTTCTCTCTCTCTCTCTCTCTCTCTCTCTCTCTCTTCTAGTTTCTCCTCTCCCTCTTTTCGTTTCTACCCCTTTTGATATACGTACAGTGAAAAAACTTGGACGTTCGTGGAAACTTTCTCTCCCCTATGGATATGTTATGTGCATCGTGCGGGAGATTTTGAAGTTTTATTTTATCGCCGGCTATCTGCGGCGTAACGGGAGTATCGTGGCTGTATTCGTGGGCGAAGTAAATTTGAAAATCATGCAGGCATCTACAAACCGTCTCTCGTTCATCCGTGAAGCTCAAGGATAATCGATAATTGTATAACAAGATTTAACCACTGCCATTCTATACTCTGATTTTCACACCTGCTAAATTTGCACTTACATCATGGACACACTGGAAAAAAGAAAAAGAATTTATGTGAATTCACTTTGCGGGATGGGAATTTTCTCGGGCGATGCTCACGAATTATATCATCGAATTATCTTCGTGGGAAATTTGTTAAAGGTGAAAAATTTGTAACTTATGAAGCTTATCTCTTGTAAATTTCGGTACGAAGAAAAAGAAAAAGAATTTGTGTGAATTCACTTTGCGGGATGGGAATTTTCTCGGGCTCACGAATTATATCGAATTATCTTCGTGGGAAATTTGTGGCGTGAAAATTGTTAAAGGTCCCTTCTGTGAAAAATTTGTAACTTATGAAGCTTATCTTTTGTAAATTTCGATACCAAATTTCGAAGAAATTGTCTTCGTGTATGGGAAACTGTGGGTTTCCATGGGCTACGAAATTCACTTTCGTGGGATAAAAATTTCGAGAAGTGCGAATCATCATCCCTGTGGAAAGTTTGTGGAATTGTGAGATTTATCTCGCGGGATGGCAAATTTCGGGGAAATTATCTTTTTGCAGGGAAATTGTGGCCGCGAAATTCAATATTGCGAAATTTGTAACTCTATGTTTTTCTTATCCTAAGAGGATTAAACTGTCAGAACGTGTCCCGTGATGTTATCGGTATAATTAAAAATGCAGAAGAAAGGGAACAGGATGTAGATTGTGGAATATAGATTATTAACACTTAATATTAGAAAGTACACGTGAAATACAAAATGATTTATACAAAGTAAAGAGAATAGATCAAACGCACGAGATATGGAATGTAAAAATGGAATATAGGATGCAAGATATCTACAAGGTGTATAAAACATAAAACGTGGTATACAAGCGTTAGTAGCGAAAACAGGGATAAAAGATATTCGTTAGAGATGCTAGGAAACTTGTCGAGGACGCAGGAAATGTAAAACATGGGATGTGAAATGAAAATATGACGCCTGGAAATTAGCTTAAAGGATGAAGATTAGTGATACGGTATATACGATACGGGATATAGGGTGTTAGATAAAATGTATGAATTATGGAATGTGCAACGGAAATGTTGGAAATTAGGCTAAGAGATATATATTAGTGATATTGGATGCGGGAAATGAGACATACGGTAGAAAGAATACAAAATATTACGGGATAAAGATATAAGTTCTGGAAATTAGGTTAAGGGGGTAGGATATAGAATATTAAATGCGTAATATAAAATATAGAATGTGGAATGGAAATATAAACAGGGGCAAACGATATACAGAATTAGGAAATACATATATTCAGTAAAACTTTAGTATTTGTCTCACTATTACTTACCTATAGTAATGGATAAACACTTCGATAAATTTCCGTATGAAGATAATAAAAAAAGCATTTCATACTCGTGACGAAAACATTGTAATAAATATATTCGTGCCATGGAATGTTAAAGATTCTCGTAAATTATCGAACATTCTCGCCGATCGTGGGATCGTATCTTCCACAACTCGTACCCCATATATAAGACGTTAAAGAGCATCGAAATCGAAAACAAGTTCCGATGAGCGTCAGCCTACTTTCTCGTAGGATCGTTTCCCCGCGAGTGGAAGATGAAGCGGGCCGATAAAGCGCCGTTATGTTAATTGGCCCGGCGGGGCGTTGCGTCCCGAGATTAATTTACCCCAGAAAGATGGTATCGCCGCGCCAATTACCGTATCCAGAGGCCGTAATTCGTTGCGCCAGTGGCGTGCAAGTTTAGGTCGTTTCTTACGTCTCCTCCACTTTTTGACTCTCGCCGATTCCTTCGTGACTCGCGCGCTGTAATCTTAAATTACCGCTTTTTATCGTCGTTTTAAATTCTTTGAAATTCAATGATTGAATATTGGGATTTATTAACGGAGGATAATACTAATTAACAGGCTCGTTAAATGTTGAAGGAGAATGATTGTACAATTGTTGTGTTGAATATATGTTGATCTTTACATAGACAAGCTGGGTTTTTGGTGGACCTCGGTCGAAACGTTGTAATTCCAAACGAAGAATTCCGTGTCGGTAAAGTGGAGTTTTCAGAGTGGAGATCTATTTACTTGAACTTGGTCGTGGAATAAATAATTACCAGAGAGAAAGTGTGATTTTTTTTTGTACTTGATATGTCTTGTTCGAAGTATAGTAAAAACTTTAAAGAATGCTATTCTGGAATTTTCTTGAATATCTTGAATAAGAATCCGGAACGGCAAATTTGTAAAAAATTTACAGAAATCATTCCTGTAATATATTGTTGTAATATGCATAACATTGATATAACTGTATTAATATTACACAATACACAGGTAAAACAATTTCTTACTTAATTCCTATAAAAAGTATAAGCTCACTTTTTCCGAGAAACGATCGATC